GATCTGGCCCTCGAGAAGGAGACGGCCCACCTCACGGGCGACCACGCCCTGATCGTGCTGCTCGACATGCTCAAGTGCTACGAGTTGGTGCGTCACCAGGCGCTGCTGGACGAGTGCAGGGCCAATCTGTTTCCCATGAGGCTCGCGTACATGCTCGTGCTGCTCTACCAGCAGGAGCGCACGATTTTTGCGCACAACTCCTTCTCGGAGGCGAAGCGTGCGTACCAGGGCATCCTGGCGGGGTGCACTCATGCCACCACGCTGCTGATGGTGCTACTGACGCGTACTTTACGCATGACTGCTCGAATCGCTCCTGAGGTTCGTCCACGTGACCTGGTGGACGACGTGGCTTTGTCGTGGACTGGTGCCGATGCCCGTGGTGCCCGCACGCTTGCGACTGCCACGAAAGTGTTCTGCGAGGCGGTCAAACCCCTCGGCCTGGTCCTGCAGTTGGACAAATCGGGGCACTTGGCCGTCACACAGCAGTCCAAGTATCACTTCAGGCAGTATGCCAAGTTGCTCAAGATTGGTGGCAAACGTCACATGCGCTACCTGGGCCACGACTTCGCGGCCTGCGCTGCTGTGCGCAGTGTCCAGAAGGATCGCCTCAAGAAGATGGATGCTCGTCGCCCTCGGCTGAAGGCGTTGCAGAAGGGGGCTGGACGCTGGCGCTCGGCGCGCCTCTGGACCACCGGCGCGCTGCCGTCGGTCGGCCACGGCGCGGCTGTCAGCGGCATCAGCGACGGCGAGCTGAAGCAGATGCGCAGCCTGGCAGGCAGTTTTTGTGGCTTCAGTGGCAGCGGCTCCCTCGCACTGTACCTGGCAGTTCAGAAGCAGCGCAGTTTCGACCCGATCTACCACGCCACCTGCAGCCTGCTGCAGCAGTACACGGTGTGGGTGTGGGCCGCGCGCGGCTCTCTCGCCAAGCTGCAGAGGGCCTGGATGGCGCTGAGAGACCAGTTCGCGGATGCTCGCGGTGCTGTCACTTGGGCCAGTGCTAGGGGTCCCATCTCTGCGCTCTGGCTCACTCTGCGCAGAGTTGGGTGGGACATGGCCAGTGCCGCGGTCCTCGTGGACGACGCGGGTGTCGGCATCGACCTGCTGAGGGTCTGTCCCAGCGAGGTCCAGCACTACATGTACCTGAGCCTGGAGCGCTGGCAGAGCCATCGTATTTTGGACCATCTGCCTGGAGCCCCTGCTCGGCGGCCAGACGGAAGCCGAAGGCATATCTGGATGCGAGCCCTTCGTCAGGGTCACCTGCAGAGGCTGTCCAGCGGGCTGCGTGGTGCTTTGGCAAAGCTTCAGTCTGACGGCATGTGGACGCCCGCCCGTCGGCGCGAGGCAGATTACACGGACAATGCAGTTTGTGAGTTCTGTGGTCACGCGCCTGCCGACCTCGAGCACGAGATGTTCTACTGCACCGTGCACGAGGCGCAGGAGGGGGAGGAGCAGGGCCCGTACCCCGAGGACGTGCTGCAGGTCAGGAAGGACATTTGGGAGCAGGGCCAGACGGGCGCTGGTGCGGAGTGGGACTTCACCGCTGTCGACCTGCTCTACGCGTTGCCGATGCGCCCTGAGTTTCGGCCCCCTGAGCCCAGCATGCTGCCTGTTCGAGAGTGGGGTGCCCGCGATGTGCCGTGGCCGTCTAAAGTTTTTGGCGACGGGTCCTGTTTTGATAGCGATTTCCCCGAGGCCAGGCGGTGTGGCTGGGCGGTCGTGGCCCTCACGCCAAATTTTTTGCCGTTCAAGGCTGTTTTTGGTGGCCTCGGAGGCCCGATTCAAACCGTTCCCAGGGCCGAAAGGGTCGCCGCCCTCCGAGGTCTCGAATTGGCGTCCAGGCCGTCTGAGTTTGTCACCGATCACTTGGCTCTGGCGCAGGAGGGGGAGCTTTGGTTTGGCAGGCATGCTCGACCGACAGCTCCCCATGCGAGTGTCTGGAGGCAGTTGCACGCTCTGTTTGAAAGAGATTTAGATCGTTTGCCCCGTTTCTCCTGGACTCGTGCTCACAGGTCCGTGGATGAAGGCATTGCGTCGTGCATTTCCTCGGGAGAGCCCCTCGGGAATTTTTTCGGTAACATGTGGGCTGACTGTTTCGCGAAGATGGCCGCGCTCGATCTGTCTGGATCTTCCTCGGTCATTCGTGCGCATAAGTTTGTGATGGAGCAGGCGAAACAGCGGATGAGATGTCTCGCTTTTGCCGCCCACAGAGTGGCCATGATGGCATCGCCCGTCGTCCATCGGCCGCTACCGCCTGCCCCTAAAGCCCCCCGCCAGCGCAAGCCGACCACCCACGCGTTCGCCCTGTTTCCTGCTGGCGCGATCGGGTGCACTGTTTGTTGGCGCCAGGCCTCGACCCCGTCCTCCCTGAAGTCCCTCTCCTCCCGTCTGTGTGATCCCCAGGACGTTGGTCCTGGACACCTGGTCCAGGAATGCGACCGTGTGCTGATTTGCACGCGCTGCGGGGCCCACGCCGTGCGCCCGCAGAGGTTTTCTGTGGGCCTCAAGCGCGCGTGCATCGTCAGGGAGGATGGAGTTCGGTCGGGAGCGGGTGGGGGTGGTGCGCGAAGTGAGAGAGTCCAGCGAATGTTGCAGCAGGCCCAGCGCGGCCGCCACCCCAAGACGGGGGAGGCGCTCGGCCCGCTGATGCTGGCCCCGATTGCCCCTGAGGCCGCCGTGCAGACGCTCACTGTCGTCGGGACGGGGGTGGCGGATGGGGGGGTCGGGGTCGCTCGTGGGGTCGAGGAGGAGGAGGGTCGGAGCCCTGTGCCGCGAGCCGATGCTGCGGCGCTGAACAGGCCCGCGCCTTCGGCTCCCCTCTCCCCCTCGGCCCCCGTGCCGCAGCCACTGCCCGAGTCTGGTGACTCGGACTAGCTGTGGCCAGCAGTTCGGGCGCTCGTCCGCGCCCATCGGCGCTTCCTCCGAGGCTCAGTCGGGATCCCCTTCTGCGCCCTCGGCCATTGCTCCATTGCTCCATTGCTCCTCCTCCTCCTCCTCCTCCTCCTCCTCCTCCTCCTCCTCCTCCTCCTCCTCCTCCTCCTCCTCCTCCTCCTCCTCTTCCGTTGTGACAACCCCTGCAACGCCCAGATCGCAGGGATGGCTCCGGGCGACGGGCGCGCGGGGCGGCGCGGCGCGAGCGAAGCCGGGCGAGTGGCGGCCCGCAGGCGCAGAGGCGCGCGGCGGAGTCGCGGGCGCTGCAGGAGGAGCTGCAGCGCCTCCGCGAGGAGCCGCAGGGCTCTCGCCGCCGCCGCTCCTGGAGCAGAGGGAGGAGAAGAAGGGGGAGGAGGAGGAGGAGGAGGGGGAGGAGGAGGAGGAGGAGGAGGAGGAGGAGGAGGAGGAGGAGGAGGAGGAGAAGGAGGAGGAGGAGGAGGGGGAGGAGGAGGGGGAGGAGGGGGAGGAGTGTAGACCCGAGACTCGGCAACGATGTTGGATGACGCCATCGCTCCAAGCGCCCTCTTCATAGGCCCCATAATTACAAGGGTTCACTTCCACAGGGAATGGCCCCATTAGGGGGCAACCGTGTAAAACTTTTGAAACGTGCGAAGACACCATCCTCAGGACTTCAACGCCACGAGTCTGTTGCGTCTCGGAGATCCTGAATCGCGCCAGAGGGCCATTCCTGGGACTTCAACTCCGCGAATCAACGCAACAGTTGCGCAGTGACAGTTCTGAATCGTTCCAAACAGCAATATCTGGTATCTTGGTCATTCGAATATGTGAAACTTTCGCATTCTGTTTAAAATAATGTACGCGGCGCTGAAGCGAGAAGCACATGTTTAAAAAGGATCCGCCCTCAATGCGTGAAGCCTGCATTTTTCAAGCGAATTGTTTTTCAAGCGAATGTGCGCGGCGTTGAGGAGAGATTCACGCTTTGAAAACCACACGCCCTCAGTCTGTGAAGCTCATGCATGCAATATGTTTAAAGCGAATGCGCGCGACGCTAATGCGAGAGGCACATTTTGAAAGCTGCCCACCCTCAATCCGTGAAGTTCGGCCAATCGTTCAAAACTACAGTGCGTTGTGCTATGGCGAGAGACACATTTTGCGAACGTCGCGCCTTCAATTCGCTAAACTCCTGTAAGTATTTAAAAGGAGTGAGCGCGGCGCCAAGCCGAGAGCCATATTTTGGAAGCGGCCCACGCTCCATCTGTGAAACAGTGGTCAGTTTTTAAACAAAGGTTCGAACGTGGTAAGGACGTCTCAGGCGAGACGCCCGGCCCTCCCTTGACTAAACGTTCGTGTAGCAGCAGAGTCAGACGCAGGAGGATGTAATAACTCGGCGTTTAAGTGCTATTCGTCTCCAGGGAATACAGGCACCTACTATATACTCAGGGAAAGGATGGTGATGATACGCTCCTTCGAGCAGGCTGCATGGCAACCAGCACCGTGCCAAGAGAGCTCCCCATAATACTGCTGTTGCTGATGATGTCTATGGTAATGAGGAATATTAGGATGACTGTGAGTAGGATGATACGGAAGAGCATGAGAATGTGATTGGGGTGAGGGTGAAGATGGTTCCGGATATGGCACGCGATTGTGCATGCTATCGTTGTGCTGGCTATTCCATCTACCTCTCGGCCTGCACGAAAACCTGAGAGTGCGCGAAACGCGCGCGATAATTCTATATAGTGTGTATATATCCATATAGTATCAAGTTGTATTTGCATACGTTCGCGTATTTGTCCAAACAGATATTTCGGTGAGGCAAAAAAGGACAGGGGGTGAGGCCCGAAGCCAACGCGGCTTGACGCCATCGTGGTCCGACTGCACCGAGGCTTGCATCTGGCCGTGCTGCTTCTTCTTCCTCGCCACTCTTTTCTCCAAGCGCGCACTTGATATCCGTCCTAACGCCAATGATGGTGGGACCCCCCTTTTACCCTCCCCCTCGTCCTCGTCGTCCCCGCCATCTTCCCGAAGCCGCTTTGGCTCGAGAACGTCGAGCGCTCTCGCGGAACCGCCCCACGCGCCCGCTACGCTCCCGGCAGGTCCTTGCAGGCCCCGCGATGGCCCGCTCCGCGTCCCTGCTCCTCGCCTGCGGCGTTGCGGCCTGCGCTGCCCTGCTGGCCGGCTCCCTCGTGCTGTCCTTCGTCGGCACCTCCCTGGCACCGGCGGGGCTGCGGGCGGGCCAGCGCTCCCCCTCGGTGGAGATGCAGTTCTTCGGTGGGGAGCCGGTGACGACCACTCCTCCGCCGCCCGCGGGCCTCAGCCTGGGGGACGTGAGCGAGAGCACGTACGTGATCTCCATGACCATCCTCTTTTTTGGCTCGGTGCTCGCGAATAACAACGGGTTCTTCGGGCCCTGGTGAAGATGAAGGCCCTATAGCGTAAGGGCATCTGGCCTGGAGGGGTGGCATAATCTCCCTCGCATGTGAAGGGGGAGGAGGAGACAGATGCCCCCTCCATATGTTTGGCCCCGCTGGGCTTCCGGCGGCGTTCAGTCTAGCCCGCAGCCCCTGCGGCGCAGGTTTTCTTTCTGTCCACGGCCGTGTTGTCGACTGTGCTGAATTGTCAGACGGCCTGAGCGTTAGGTCGTCACGCGGCACGACATGGAACATGTCCTCCTCATCTTCGTCCCCGAGTGAGGCCACCATCCCTCCCCTCGCCTTTCTCGCCCCCGAGTGAGCGACGGAAGAAAACGGGGACGACTGCGCCGACATTGGCACGTCAGCTTCCTGCGTAGGGCGTGCATAGGCGCCCTCATCTTCACGCGGTGTGCCACGACGACGGTCCGAGTAAGCCACGGGCCACCGCGCAAGGTGGCTATGACATCCTGCGTAAGACCTCTTTGTCGTCGTCGCTCGAATGGGCGATGATGATGACCTTTCCTCTATCACTGTCTCCTTGACCTGCCGCCGTCTTCCTCCCTTGCGGAGCTACCGCTCACCCTGGGCTGCCGTGCATGACATTCCGCCTCATTTCCAGCCTGCTCGTTGTCTGACCATCGGCCGCCAGCCTCGTTTGCCGCGGCCAGGCCCGGCTCGAAAACTTGACCGTGCCGGCGCCTGAGGGCAGCATCCAGGGCTCGATCCCGAGCAGCTTCGGCAGGAAGGAGCACTCCAAGTGGACGCTTGCTTCTGAATTCAGTCTGGGGGCTTTCGCATTCTCCCTCGTCGCCGCGGCGGGACAGGGCTCGAGAATCTGGCCGATGCGCTTCCTGGAAGGAGGGGTCCGCGGACCGATCTCGAGCAGCGCCGGGCGGGGAGGGACCGCGTTTCTCTTGGCGCCTTGCCCCTGTCAGCCGAAAAAGGTGTGTGACCAAGAAGAATCGGTGACCGAGAACGTGGCCGAAATCGTGACCGAACGCGTCATGTTGCCAGAGTTGTGACCCACCTTGACAGCAGCTCTGGTCTCGAACCAGGAATTTCGGTCTCGCTAGCTTTTTTTTGGGGGGGAGGAACTATCGGACGCCAGTTTCGGCCATTCCTTTGATCGAGACCAGGCTGCGCGCGGTGCTTTTCTCTGGGGTGCGCGCAGACGAGCGATAACAAGTTGCCCCTCGCTCTGCTCTCGCGCCAGGCTCCGGACCTGCATTTCGTCATGCGAGCTGGCAGGGCGTGGTACCCTTCAGAGTTCCTCCTTTCCTCTGCATGCTGCACCGCTCATGCCCAGTGCGGGACCAACGAAGCGCGGCTCTTCGACTCGCTGCTTGCATGCTCGACGGCGTACGAAAGCGGACGGGTGGGCACAAATAATCAAACGGAGACCGTAGCCGTTGGCTCGATCCTTTGTGGGTGAACCCAGCGGGGGGCGTTCGTTCGCAGCCCCCTGTTTCTGTTTTGGCACGGCCCATCATGCTGTTCTCACTCCGTGAGTGGACTCAGACTCAGAGGGGGGCATGATTCTGATATCGCTGCCCTTTCCTCGCCGCCACGGCCCTCGTCGCCACGCCTTGGTCAAAACGAACCACGGGAGAGGTCCCCGGAGCAGCGGTATCGGCGGTATCGGTATCTTCTCGTTTCGCCAGCGATGGCAGCCCCTGCAACGCGTGCAGCCAGGACCTTCCGCCGTGATGTTTTGTCAATCGCCCCCCTCGGTCCTCGCTCCTCGTGGTGGCCGCGGGCAAGAGGAGGATAGGAGAGGGGCAGCAGGGGTTGGGGGGGGGGGGGGCAGCAGGGGCGGGAGCGGAAAGACGAGAAGGAGGGGCAGGAGAAGGAGGGGCGCGCTCTGGGGCAGCCCTGCGAGGCAGAGCGGGCGAGGGTGCAAGGGGGAGGGGTGGACGGGTGGATGGGGCGGAGGGTGCCCGGGCGGGAGGGGCCGCACCGATGGGCGCAGCACAAGAGGCCTCCGAGGCGGCCTCCGCCGCCGAGCGGGGGTCGAGCGGAGGGGAGGACGACACGCGGCTGCGGAACGAGTGCGACATGTACATCAACCAGCAGGACCGCTGCTCCCTCCCCCCCCCCCCGCCGCTTGCCCAAGGCGCGCACGGATCATCCCATGCCGACGTTGAGCGAGCGAGCGTCTGCCCAGGCCTCCGACGTCCCAGGTGTCTCCAGGTTTCGGGACCTCCGTTTCGGGCCCCGGGTCCAGAAGGACATCAGACGCGGCCCGCGACGCCAAGCCGGGGATGTGGCCGAGAGCTCCTGGGACCACATCGGCAAAGGTCCTCGTCCTCGTCCCCATCCTCCTGGGAAAGGTGGACTTCTCGGTCCCTCAAGCCCCCTTGTGGGCCCTAGAGGGCCCCTTTCAGGGGCCCTGAAGGGCCCTGTTTTCTGCAGCCCTCGCTCCCCCCCCCCCATGAATCGCCCCCCTCATTACTCAAGGCCCGAGTCTCAGGTTCGCCAGGAAGCAGACGGATCCTGCGGGAGACGGGTTCCGAGGTTTTTCTGTTTTGTTTTCGGCCTCTCTCGGGGCCGTCCGAGGACAGCGACCCGGGACGAGGTGCCGTTCCCATACGGGAGGGTCCCGCGGTCCAGGGCCCGTCTCCTCCCCAGGACCAGTGTTTCTTTCACGCCCAGAGAGGTGATTGGGGCCCACCCGCGGCGGAGGAGGTGGAGGAGGAGGAGGAGGAGGAGGAGGAGGAGGAGGAGGAGGAGGGTGAAGGAGGAGGAGGATGAGGATGAGGATAGGGAGACGAAAAATGGTTGGGAGGAAGTCCAGGAATCTGATACGAGGGAGACGAAATGAGTAGGCGGAGAAGGGGGAGGAGGAGGAGGAGGAGGAGGAGGAGGAGGAGGAGGGATAGGGAGACGAAGCATTGTTCGGAGGAAGTTGAGGAATGTGACACGCGGGATGCGAACTGAGTAGGCGGGGAAGGAGGAGGAGGAGAAGAGGAGACGGACGGAGATGGGCGGATGCGAGGACGAAGGATGATGAGGAGGAAGATGAAGAGGAGAAATACGACACGACCGACACACATTGAGGAGGAAGAAGAAGATGAGGAAGAGGAAGAGGAGGAGGAGGAGGAGGAGGAGGAGGAGGAGGAGAAGGAGAGGAGATGGAGGAGGAGGGGGAGGGGCGGGGGGAGGGGGCAGGGGGAGGGGGAGGATTCGAGCGAGGGGGGGGGGCGCCAGAGGAGTAGGGTGAGAAGCATGAGGCGAAGCAACATCAGCATGATAACGAAGAGGCGCATGCTGGAGTTGATGAGTAGGGGAGGAGAGAGTAGGAGGCGAAGGCCTGGGATAAATTGCTTGATGTTTGGATGTAGAAAGATGAGGGGATGGAGGAATGATGGTGATAATGATGCTGATGATGATGAGGCGGAGGAGGAGGATGAGGATGAGGATGACGAGGATGCTGATGATGATGATGCTGATGCTGATGGTGGTGATGGTGATAGTGATGGTGATGGTGATGGCGATGATGATGATGATGATGATGATGATGATGATGATGATGATGATGATGATGATGATGATGATGATGATGATGATGATGATGATGATGATGATGATGATGATGATGATGCATCATGATGATGATGATGATGATGATGATGATGATGATGATGATGATGATGATGATGATGATGATGATGATGATGATGATGATGATGATGATGATGATGATGATGATGATGATGATGATGATGATGATGATGATGATGATGATGATGATGATGATGATGACGATGATGATGATGAGGAGGAGGAGGAGAAAGACGAGGCGGCACCCTGAGGTGGAGGAAGAGGGGGGACTGAGGAGGATGGAAGAGATTCCGGAGGTGGGGTGTGGGTCCAAGCACGTTTATTCGTGTACGCGGGGCGAGAAGAGGAGGCGGAGGAGCAAGAGAAGGAGCTGGAGGAGGATGCGGAGGCGGAGGAGGAGAGGCATACGTCGTCGCGACGTCGTCGTCGTCGTCGACCCTCGCGTTGGTCGTCGTCGCCGGCGGCGGCGCCTTCGCCCCTCTGTCCACGCGTGGGGCTGCGCAGCTCGACACGCTGTCTGTCCGACCTGGGGAGCTCGCGCCGTGAACTGCTCTCTGTGGGCCCTCAAGGGTCTCGCAGCGGGCCCTCCCCCGGGGCCCAGGCCCAGACGAGCAAGACTCGAGCAGGGGATCGACTTTCTGGTCTGCGGGTCGAGAGCGGGCCTCTTTCGGTTAAGAGCTAGGCGGGGCGCGCAAAGCACTAATTGGGGAGACAGGGCGTGGGCGGGCGGGGCCTCAGGCGGCGGGAGGGTGCGGGGTGCCAGGGGATCGACCATCGAAGTGATGCATCCCAGAATTATCCGTAAGGGCTTCGCCCCCTGCCGCCGGCCCCCTCTCTCAGAGAATGCGCTATGCAAGAGCTGTGTCATGAGGCCTGGGCGCTGCCGTGAAGCAGTATCAGAACTTCATGCGAGGCCGACTTGTGTGAGCAAAACCAATTGATCACCAGAGGGGTTACCACTCTTGGCGATTGGTAAGACGTCGTGGCCCTGCGGATCTGCGTGAGGGTGCCACCGAATTTTAGAAATGCTGCAAATCCCTTGTGTTCTTGGACCCTGACCCTACGGATCTGCGCAAGGGGTGCCACCGAAGTTCAGAAATGTTGCAAATCCTTTGTGTTTTTGGACCCTGCCCCGCCGATCTACGTGAGGGGTGCCAATGAATTCCGGAAATGTGGCAAATCCTCTGTGTTTTTGCACCCTGACCCCGCCGATCTGCGTGAGGGGTGCCACCGGATGTTAGAAATGTGGCAAATCCTCTATGTGTTTCGACTCTGACCCCGCCGATCTGCGTGAGGGGGGTCAATTTTTACCACCCCCCGCAATTCTGAGCACACGCTCAGGGCGTGCTAAACCTGCCCGTTTGGGCCTCCCCCTACCTCTCGCGGTCCATCAACACGGAACAGTAAGCAGCAAGAAGCAGAATTGTAACAGTGGAAACTGGAAGCTGCAACGGGTACAGGAAACTGCCCACAAGGGGGCCGGCGGATATTCGTTCCATCGGATCTACGACAATTGCGCAGGCTGGTCGTAGATCATTCGTAGGTCCGACGAGACACTCAATTTTGGGGTAGGACAATATTGTAGCCGATCCCCTACTCGAAGCTCGAAGCAGAAGCGGCCTGCCCTGACCTTTTTGCTCCCCTCCTCCACGGCGCCCCTGGGCCCCTGGGGTGCGGGGGGCCCTCCGCCGGCCCCCCCCGCAGGAGATCGCCGTGTCGAAGTACGAGGCAGAGATCAAGCTGCGCATCGACTCGGAGGCCCCGCGCTCGCGCGCGCTCGTTCCCCTCCTCCTCTTCCTCCCCCTCCTCCTCCTCCTCCCCCTCCTCCTCCTCCTCCTCCTCCTCCTCCTCCTCCTCCTCCTCCTCCTGCTCCCCCTCCTCCTCCTCCGCCTCCTCTTCGATGGATCGCCGCCCCTCGGGCGCACGCCGTCTGCTCGTGCCCTGGGGGCCGCTGGGCAGCCCAGTCGTGGCCGAGAGCCGGGCGCGCGAGAGCCCCACCACCCTCGGCCCCTGCGCGGCCAGGAGCGCATACGTGTCCGCAGGGCTGCCAGGCCTATGTCGGGCGTCTCCCCCTACAGGGGGATTTTCTACGAAAAAAACAACATACCCCCGCAAATACCCTAAAAAGGTCAACAACTATGCAAACCATAGTCCCCAGACTGTTTTTGGATTATTGTTTGACTATTACTGGGGTCTTCTTTATTTTCGTCGTAAATCCCCCTGTAGGGGGACAGGCCCGACTTCATGCCAGGCCCCAGGGGGGGGGCGGATCCAGGGGTGCGCCCCCTCAGTGGCTGTCGGGGGGGTGACCTCCAGATCGGAGAGAGCGTGATCCACCGCCGCTTTACTGTGGAAAATTGCCAACCTTTTCCTCCGGAACCCGGGGTCGCCCCCCCCCCCCCCCCCCCCCCCCCTCCGTCCCCCCCCCCCCCTGCTGGAACCCCCCCCCCCCCCCCCCCCCCCCCGTCCCCGGCAAAACCCCCCCCCTCCTAACCCCTCCCCCCCCCCCCCCCCCTCCCGCTCGAAAACCGGGGGGGGTCACTACCGGTTCGAACCCCTCCCCACCCCCCCCTCCCCCTCCGGATCCGGAAAACCGGGGGGGGTCACTACCGGTTCGAAACCCCCCCCCCCCCCCCCCACACTCACGCCAGCAAACGACTCCCGGTCCCCACCACCGTCCGCATCACATCCCCCACTGGTGTTCCCAGCACCACTGTCCTCACCACCGCTGTCCCCACTGGTTCCACCACCGCCCCTACTGTCCCCACCAGTGGCCCCACCACTGTCGCACTGTCCCCGCTGTCCCCAGAACTGTTCCCACCACGGTTCCACTCTCCCCACTGTCTCCACGGCCCCAACCACTGCCCGACTATCCCCACTGTCCCCACTGTCCCACTGACTCCTCCGCTGTCCCACTGAGCTGTCCCACTGTTCCCACCACTGTCCCCACTGTCCCCACCACTGTCCCCACTGTACCTCTGTCCCATTGTCCCACCGCCGTCCTCGCCACCGCCTTCACCACTGTCCCCACCACCATTGTACCCTCCACTGTCCCACTGTTTCCACCTCATTCCCATTGTCCCCACACCACTGTCCCCACCACCACCGTCACCACCACTGTCCACTGTCCCCCCCTGTTCCCACCATTGTCCCCACCACTGTCCCCACCACTACCGTCCCCACCACTGTCCCACTGTCCCACTGTCCCCACCACTGTCCCGCTATCCCCTCACCACTGTCCCCACCAACACCGTCCCCACCACTGTCCGCACCCCCACTCGGTTTTCGAGGGGGGGGGGGGGTTCGAACCGGTAGTGACCCCCCCCGGTTTTCCGGATCCGGAGGGGGGGGGGGGGGGGTTCGAACCGGTAGTGACCCCCCCCCCTTTTCATGATGAGCAGGGGGGGGGGGGGGGGGGGGGGGAGGGGTTCGAACCGGTAGTGACCCCCCCGGTTTTCCGGAGGGGGGGGGGGGGGGGGGGAGGGGTTCGAACCGGTAGTGACCCCCCCCGTTTTTCCGCCAGCAGCGGTAGAACACGCTCTTTCCCAGATCGGCACAGAGGCGAGGCGATGCCGACCATGAGGATCGTAATGAGTTGCAGGCTGGTGCGCTGCCCCTTAGTTGAGCAGCGACGCGACGATGAACATTGCGATGTAATCGGAAGAGTTGATCCCCTGATGGGTTCTGCCTGAGCCGGCCTGAGTGTCGGAGCGATGACTGTCCCGCTCTCCGCCGGAGTTGGATTCAATTCTAGCATGGGCTGCCGTGGCCACGGCTCCGCGGCAGAAACCAGCAGGCTATCGCGACAACATCGGTCAACCTAACATTTGTTTGAGCAATGGAGGCTTGAGCCAGTGGCCCCCCTTCCCACGCGAGTGGTCAGCGCCACCAGGGCGGGTGCGTACCTGCCCGGTGACGATCTCATGGCGCCAACATCGCGGAGCGGATCTCGCTCGGAAGACAATAGGATGGGCCCGGAGCGTCTTGGAGAATGTCGTGCCGGATGTCGAAGTGAATTTCGTGCGAATGTTTGTTTGGCCAGGAATGCAGATTAAAACAAACCCACGTGAAATTCACGTGGTTTTTGCTCGCCGTTTCGGGGTCTTGCAATGACGGAAATCCACGCAAAATCCGCCGCAGCACGTCTGCAAGGTCGGTGCAGCTCTTCGGCGGCGCGCAGGAGCGGGAACGCGAGAGAGGTTGCCGCTTTCCCCGCGCGGGGCGGTGCAGAGAGGAGTGTGGCAGGAGCAGCGCCGCCCTCCTGCAGCGGTCAGGGCCCCCGCCCATGCTCACCGGCCGCCCAGCCACCCCAGCCCGACCCGAAGGCCTCCATCGGCCCCCCCCACTTCCAGTGCGGGGGGGGGGTCGAGGCAGATGGAGAGTGAACACTTTTTGGGGGGGGGGGATTCGCGGGTCGAGAGCGCACCTCCTCCGGTCGAAGCTAAGCGGGCCGCGCGAAGCTTGAATTAACAAAGAGGGGGAGGAGGGAATGAGCGCAACATGGAGAGTAGACACCTCTGGAACCCGTACCCCTCCCCCCCAGCCCGAAGCGCGGGTCTCTTCGGGTTGGGCTGGGGTGCTCTGGCAGGCGGTCGGGTACGGAGCTGCGTCGCCCCCGGGTGCGCGAAGGGCGTCTCGCGCTCCGCACTCTCGCGGGCGGGGGCCGCCGAGCCAGCCTCCCCCTCTTCCCCGGGGGGGCAGCGCGAGGGCGCACCGCGGCGCGCCTCCATCCCCGGCGTCGCTGCCGGGGCCTCCGGCGTCGCGTCTCCGCCTCCTCGAGCGACCCTGGATCCTCGACCGAGTCTCTCGAGCCTCGATCCTCGCTCGAGGAGATCGATCGATCGATCCTCGATCCTCGATCGAGGAGGTCGATCCTCGCTCCTCGATCCTCGATCGGTCCTCGATCCTCGATCCTCGGTCCTCGATCGATCCTCGATCGATCCTCCGATCCTCCGATCCTCGATCAAGGCGCGGGCCCCCGGGGGCCTCCCCGGCCCCTGCTCCCACCCGGCGGGGGCCAGCCCTCCGCTCTCCGCGGGCTGCGCCCGGACGGTCACGGGGGGCACGTCGCCAAACTGGAGCTCGCCGAGCTCGCGGTGTGCCTCGGCTTCCGCCGATCGGCCGCTGGACCTCATGATCTAGGCCTCCCAGGTGGGGTCGGAGCAGATGGGGTCAGAGGATTGCGGCGCGTCGCCGATGCATCGCCGATGCGGCTCGATGTGGAGCCCGATGTTCTCCTCGCCGACGACGCCGATGCATCGCCGACGTCGCCGATGCATCGTCGATACATCGCCGATGTGTTGGCGATGCGGCGCGATCTCCGACCCCATCTACTCGGACCAAATCCAGGAGGCGTCTCAATGAATACAACGAATCCCTTGCGTGTGTTGTGCGATTGTTTTTTTGTTATGTCAGTTTCTATCGGAGAATATGGGGCGGATTCGCTGGACCCGCTGGAGAGCGAGGGGTGAGCTCGCCTGCGTTCCCGAGCCTTCGGGCCTGTAGAAGCCAGCCACCGCATGCCCGTCTTGCTGCGTGCGTCTCTGCAAACACAGTGCCGTCTACCGTCGCCGCCAGCGAGGTGGGGATGGGGCGGCTCCGCCCGCAGGCTTTCCAGCCGATCGCTCCTCCGAGGGCGTTGCCGCAGGCGTCCCGAAGGCCGAACTCTGAGGAGGCAACTCCTGGTAAGTTCTAATCCGGATCGGCGCTGGTATGTCCCGGGTCGAAAGCTGGCCTGCCCTGGCGCAGTTCCGCTGGGTCGGGCTTGATGCACTCCGGCTTGATCCGGTTCAATACGGCTCCAGCCGGTTTCGTCCTGGGCTCAATCCGACCTGGTCTGGCTCGGTGGCCCCTCGAACGGGCTTGCAGGCCGTTGACCTCCCAGGAGGCGCCTCCCAGGACATCAAGACAACGGTTGAGGACGCCCGAGGCCTGCCCTGAGATCTGGGCGTTGCACTTGTTCACACGGGGCCGCTTCGCCCGTTTCCCCTCGTGCGGCCATCGCAGGTCCATCCGTCTCGAAGAATGCACGTCACGCCTATGCTCATATCAATTGTGGACGTTTCGCGTATCCTCATCGGTTTGCGGCCAATTGCTTCGCTTCGCGCCCCGTTCGATGCCCTGCTCCTCGACATTCGCCTGGGAGCCGCCAACCAAAAAGTATCCTCATCGGCTCTTACGTCCTAAGTTAGAGCTTGGCGCGGCTGCCTCTTCCCTTGACCGCTCGCGGTTGGACCGCGACGCTCGCGAACGAAAAGTATCCTCATCGGCCCATCCAGTACTGATCTCGGGGGGAGCTGCCGTGACAGGGGCGCTGGCGGAGCCAACACGTAGATTCAGGCTGGGTGGTTGGCGCTCCGCTGCCAGTGCCTCCTACGCCTCCAGATCTCTTGTAGGGAGAGGAGGAGGAGGAGGAGGAGGAGGAGGAGGAGGAGGAGGAGGAGGAGGAGGAGGAGGACGGAGGAGGAGGGAGGAGGAGGAGGAGGAGGAGGAGGAGGAGGAGGAGGAGAGGAGGAGGAGGAGGAGGAGGAGGAGGAGGAGGAGGAGGAGGAGGAGGAGGAGGAGGAGGAGGAGGAGGAGGAGGAGGAGGAGGAGGAGGAGGAGGAGGAGGAGGAGGAGGAGGAGGAGGAGGAGGAGGGGGGGGAGGAGGAGGAGGAGGAGGAGGAGGAGGAGGAGGAGGAGGAGGAGGAGGAGGAGGAGGAGGAGGAGGAGGAGGAGGAGGAGGAGGAGGAGGAGGAGGAGGAGGAGGAGGAGGAGGAGAGGAGGAGGAGGAGGAGGAGGAGGAGGAGGAGGAGGAGGAGGAGGGGGTCTCGAACGACACCCAGTGGCGCCTCGAAGACCCTCCGGAGTATGCCGGCGGTCGCCACGGTGCACGGCGTTGGGGGGAGCCCTTGTGAAACACAGGGGGGACGGGGGGAGCGGCGAAAATACAGCCCCACGGAGGGAATCCTCGGTAGCAGATCGTGGGAGCCTGGTCTACCACCTCACTTCCGCATTTGGCGTCGACGTCGATTTGCGTCGACTAGCGTCTGCGAGTCGATGAGATAGCGCCGATTCAGCGTCGGCTTGCGTCGATCCAATAGCGTAGAGCCGACAAGTTGGTATGGGAGGCTCCCATGAGTTGCCACATAATGAATCGGAGCGGGGGGTAAGCCCTTCCCACAGGGCAGCACCCGGTTTGGTCAAGAGCTGGCCCGCTAAACCACCTACGCCCAGGCGGCTGGCGGGATTGGGCTCACGGGCCACGGTTAGGCTGCAACGATAGAGTCGGTTCCGATGAAGTCACCGGGGAGCGCTCGTTGAGGCCACGGAAGTGCTGCCTCGCCTCCTTCCCCCTCGCAGGTGAAATTGCTGGACAAGACCCGCAAAACGGAGTCCCTCGAGGCGGGGGTGAGGTGGGGGAGGGTGATGTGGTACGAGGAGGAGGAGGAGGAGGAGGAGGAGGAGGAGGAGGAGGAGGAGGAGGAGGAGGAGGAGGAGGAGGAGGAGGAGGAGGAGGAGGAGGAGGAGGAGGAGGAGGCGGACGACGAGGACGACGACGAGGAAGACGAGAGGTTGGACGGGAGAGGAATAGAATGTAAATGCGAGGAGAAGGGGGAGGAAAGGCAAGGCGGACTATCGTACGGTCCGCGGCGCCACCGTTGCGGGCGAACCTCCGCCGCTTGCCGTCGTCACAAACGATGGCTGGCCTGGGAAGCAGGGGCAGCAGGAGAAGGAGAAAGAGGAGCCTGGAAGGGGAATGATGAGAAGCTTGGCAAAAAGATGAGGGGAGGGGAGGGGGAGGTGGAGGATGAGGAGGAGCAGGAGAGGAAGGTGGACAAAGGTGACGAGGAGGACAGCAGGTATGGAAGCCGAGGAGAAGATAGACGCTGTACGTATGCGACATAGAGGAGGTGCAGGAGTTCGAAGAGGAGAAACGACGGAAGAGGGACGCTCTCTCGAGAGAGTGGGAAGAGGGAGTACGTGGAATATGTCGAGGGGGCGGAGGAAGACAGAGTCGTGGATTGGGAGGGTGTCTGAGCAATGGACAGTCCGTGCACGTTTTGTCCAGATCATCCCCATAAGATGACGAGCCAACGTCGAACAACTCGCTCCAGCCTGGCGTCGTTGAAAAGGTACAAAACTCACCAACCAATACATATCGAACACTGCTTGGCGTTTCTGCTCCTCGATCTTGCACCATCGTCCCCCGCCAGGGATCGTGATTGAAGCCACGGCGGAAGGCAGACTCGTTGCGAAGCGGCCGGTGGAACAGTTGAAGCATTCTAGACGAGTTCTCGTTCGCCTCGGGCTTTCACATGTGTTTGACGCCTGGAGTCGCTTCATTCGACTCGGTTGCGTGCGGCCCCCTTCTACGCTCTCGCCTCTTCAGCTTTGTAAGCTCTTGCATATGCCCTTGCCTTCTGTGGGTTCTTCTTCGACAGCCGACTGCCCAGGCCGAATTGCGCCCGCCTGCTCAGGGCCAGGGTCTGGGCAAGCAGCAGGGTAAGGTGCAGAGCAAGGCGCGTTGCCACAGCCATGGGTTGGGTTTCGAGTTTGGCTTGCGGGTGGGATTTAAGGCTTGGCTTTAGGAGCAGGGTGTTTGGCTACAGGTCACGGTGTGCAAAACAAGACGCGTTGCCCATGCTAAAGTTTTGGTTGAATGTTTTGGTGAGCTCATCAGTGCTGCTGTTGTGCCGGGAAATGTCGATCCCAGGCTGCGCGGCATTCTTTACCTGGTAGTGCCTCAGAGTGTCAGGGTAACCGCCAGCGTGTACGTTGTTGGGGCGTAGACCTAAGAGTAGGGGTGTGAGATTAGTGGACCGCGCGTGAGGATGACAATTTTGGCTTGAGTCAGGTTGGTGGGCTGGATGTTGATGTATTGTTAGAGCTCGGCTGGAGCTTAGCCTGAGGCTTTGGTCGAGTAAGGGTCCAGTTTAGGGTTGGTTTTGTGCGCAGAGTCATGGTAAGCGTCAGGTTTGCAGTGAAGGGTCGGGTGATGGTCAAGGGGTTTGGGCCGGTTTGCAGACTCAGCGTGACTGTTTGGGTTGCTCATTTTGAGATTGGAGGGAGGGCCGCGTTATGGTTAGGGTTTGTACTGTTGTCATTGTCACGGTCAGGGCTTTTTGCTTTAGTATATTTATTTCTAGCCGGCTGAAGCCTTGACGCTGTGGCAGAAGACATGCATTCTGGATAGAGCGGGGTGTTTGATTCAAGCACGGCTTTGAGGCTTTGCGCATTAAAAAGCTCAGCGGTGGTTTCAATGGCAGGTGTGGGTCTCGGAAATTCTGGGTTGGGCTTGAAGTTCAGATTCACAGCAGGGTTGGGCCCACAAATCTGTGCGTGACTTACAAGCGATCGAGCCCATCTTGGCGCAAGGCTCAAGTTATTTCTCTGGGCCTGCAGGGCATACGCGGCGAGGGGAGCAGGCATGATGAACGCCATGTGGCTAAGCCTGGCGGATAATGAGTCTCTTCCCGAGAGCTTGCAGGACGAGCCTGGCGCAGGGGGCGGCGAAGAGCGCGAAGGCTTGACGACCACGCCCACTGTAACGCACACCGAGTCTGATCTCGACGACGAGTTTGTGTCCTTAGCGCCGCCTGTCAAGGGCCGCCCAGATGATACCCTCATAATCTTCGACTGGGACGACACGCTCCTGTGCAGCTCCGCCATCAATCTGCAGCAGTGGTCACAGCCCCAGCTGGACGGCCTGTGCGCGACCGTGGAGAACACGCTCGGGCACGCCATGGAGCTCGGAGAGGTGATGATCGTGACCAACGGCGTGGACTGGTGGGTAGAGGACAGATAGGAAGAAGCAACGGCATACAAATAAACATGTATAAACTTTCGGAGCTCCGTGCGGATTCCGTGGGCCTTCAAAAGTTGTTGTGTATGCCGCTTGCTCCTCTAGGACAGTTGCCGGCGGTTCTTGCCTGGCCTTCTGCCCCTGCTCGGCCGTCTCCACGTGAAGTCTGCGCGGCACGATTATGAGCCCCTCTACCCGGGCGACCCCTTTGCCTGGAAGCGCGAGACGTTCAAGGACATCCTCAAGCCGCGGCCCAGGGCTACTAACCTCGTGGTGATCGGCGACTCCTTCTCTGAGATCCACGCCGCTCACGGAGCGCTCCACTGCATGGTCCACGGCTCGCTGGTGAAGACCGTCAAGTTCAAGGAGCACCCTTCAGCGGACGAGCTTCGCGGCCAGCTACGCCGCGTGTCCCAGGAGATGAGCAGCCTGGTGAGCCAGGACGGCCACACGCACTGTAGTCTGGTACGGTCGCCGGTGCAGCTCGGGCACATGGCGAGCTGGGCGGCTGGCTGGCGGCTGTCATGCGACGACGACGCGGACAAGTCCATCGGAGGTCTTGCCCGGAAAAATAAGCCACCCATGCTGCTATTCCCCGGACCTCTCCCTACCAGGATTTCGAGGTTAGCGGGGGGGGATACCATGGCAGGGGCCATGCTATCTCCCCAGATTTCATGGCGCCCCCTCTTGTTCCAAGACGTCCCCGGCCATCACCCCCTGGGCCGCGCACATGCCGCGGGCCATGATCTGCGACCCCCCCTCTTGGACCCCCCCCTCTGAGCCGCCCCCGATTCAGCCGTGTCGACGAGGGTTTTCCTGGACTAGCAGCGGTATCCCTTGAGATCCGACGCTGCGACACGCAGGCAACATCGCGAAAGCCACAGCTGGAGCCACGGGCCCCTTCTGTTTTTGCTGCGCCATCTCTCGAGCTGGTTATCGATCAGTGAGGGTCCCAGGGCCTGAGACCGAGCGAAAACGTCCGGCTCGTAAAAAAGGGGCGCCCAGATCCGCAGGCGATTTTTCTCCCCCAATCGCCGAGCTCCGGCCGAAAAGTTCGGCCGTTCAGCGAAGGGGGAGGAAACCCTGGGATACACCCCAAGGGGGCTATTCGGACGCACTCCTATCGAGGATGGACGCCCCCCATTGGTATATCCCAGAGTCAGGGTTGGGCCCCAATTTTTTCTGGTCCATTCGAAAGCCTGGGAAGCCTTGGAAGGGGGTCGACATATCCCCTGTTACAGAAGATCTCAGGGTCACGGTAGGTTCGCGTCGTGTCGACCGTCGGCGACCCCGCCATCGGCGTTCAACGTTGAGCGCCGCCGGCGACCCAGAGTCGGTCGATGTTGAACGACCTGGCGTTCCGGAAACGGCCGATCGTTTCAGGTTGAAGGACCCTCGCGGTGTCAGGAGCCAGCGCCGAGGCCGACACGACACGAGCCTGCCGCATCCTTCCCCGAGGCCTGCTCCTCGACGCCGGCAATGCGGGCACCGACTTCAGCCGGGGCATCCTCGGGGCCGCCCCCGCGCGCCGCCCGCGCCCGCCCGTGCGCCTGGCCTTCACGCCCGCGCGCCGCAGCGCGGGTGGGTGCCTCGAGTCCGCGCGCCTGGCGCTCTCCATGGTCTAGCCCCGCCGCGTGGGCCACGACGCCTCGAGGTGCAACAGCTCGGCGGCGAGCGAGGGGGGTCGAGAAGGAGAAGGCCTGCTCAGATGGCGGCGGGACTTCGCAGAAGCCCTCGCGCCTTCTGAGAAGGTTTTGCTCGTCTTCGGGGAAGGCTGAGAAAGCTTCCCAGAAGGCCGGGGGGCTTCTCAGTTCCCCCTCGCTCGCCGCCGAATAACCGCGGCAGACGTGCAATTGTTCGGAGCCCCGCGCGGACTTCTCGGATCGGCGCCTGGCCCCGTCGGCGGCGCTTCCAGCGCCGCCCCTGGCACGCTCCGTGCGCCAGCGGGAGGGGATCCGGCCGCCCGAGCCACGACGTCCGCCCCTGACCTCCGAGAGTTGATGTCACTGCCCAAGTCCGTGCAACCGGGGCGTTAGGAAACGAGCGTTAGTAAACGAGCGCGTTGTCAATGGTGCTTTCAGAAAACGGATCTGCCGCGCCCAGGTGCGAGGCAGGGGCCCTGTCACCCCGCTCTCGCTTGAAGTTGCCCCTCAGCTGCCGCCCCGTTTACGAGCGCCCCGTGTGCAGGGGCCTGGATTGCCGTTGTGTTTGTTTCTCTCGCGACGTCTCGATCGGCGGCCGGCTGGGCGCCCGCGGAGGCAGCGCCACATCGCCACATCGCGGAGGCCGGAGGCCCCCCCAATCTTCCGGGGAGGAGGGGGTGCCGAAGCCTCTACCCTTACGTCGGGTCTGTCCCTCTACAGGAAGAAAGTTCAAAAATAATCAAAAAATAGTCGGTGGACGATGTTTTAGCTATTTTAGCTCATTTGCGGGGCATTTTTTCTGTATGTTCTATTTTTCGTCCAAAGTCCCCCTGTGGGGGACACGCCCGACCTAACGCTACCCTTCCCGCGTCGCCGCTGCTGGATTCGCTCTGAACTCCTGATCTCAACGCACCCCCGGGAGGGGCCCGGGGAGTTCTTAAGCAGTGGCGAAGCGTCCTGTTTCGCTTATAGGCCTACCAAAGCATGTTCTGAGAACTTTGTGGTTTCCACGAAGTGTCCTTAGAACATTTTTGGCTGGGACTGTCTTTTTGACACATCGGGTTTATGTTCTAAGAACGTTGGTTCTGTTCTTAGGCCATGTTTGGGCTCTAAGAGAATTTCGTGATAGGACTATAGGAATGCCGGGACGGCTGGCCCCTGCTCGAGGAGTGGCGGTATCGGTGTGCATCCGCCTTCCCAACATGCCCGACAACCGCCGGCGTGGTTTTGTTCGCTCCGCGGCCTCGCCGAGCGTTGCGATCCCTTCCCTGGGGCCAGTCCTTCGCTCCACACCAGTCGTGGATGGGCCCGGGGCGCGGTGGGAGAGGAGGAGGAGCAGGAGGAGGAGGAGGAGGAGGAGGAGGAGGAGGAGGAGCAGGAGGAGGAGGGAGAAGGAGAAGGAGGAGGGAGGAGGAGGCGGAGGAGGCGGAGGAGGAGGAGGAGGAGAAGAGGAGAAGAGGAGAGAGGCCCAGGGTTGCCTTCTGCGAGCATTCGGCCTCTGAGTCCACTCGGCCGTCGAATGGGCAGACGAGCGGGTGCTCCAACAGGGCGGCAGCAATCTGGCCCAGTCGGCGGCCGCATGGGCTCTATCCTGGGTTCGTGCAGCGTCCGAGTGGCCTGAGGCGCCTTCCAGGCTCCCCTGAGATCCGACGTTGCGAGCAAAACTCAGCATCGCGAAAGGTGAAGACTGAGGCCCAGGTCCTGTCTTGCTCCTGCATTTCCGAGCTGGATCGAGCTGTGATGGTCCCAGGGCTTGAGACACGGCGAAAACGCCCAGAATAAAGAACATGCAGCGCCCATAACTCAGGGAAAGGGCTGAGACGGCGAACGGGTTGAGATGGGGTCCGAGTAGATGGGGTCGGAGGATTGCGCCGCATCGCCGATGCATCGGCGATGCGGCTCGATGTGGGGCCCGATGTTCTCTCCACGGAGGCGTCGCCGATGCATCACCGACGTCGCCGGTGAATCGCCAGTGCATCGGCAATGCATCGACGATGCGGCGCGATCCGTCCGACCCCATCTATCGGGGTTGGACAGACCTCCTACCCTGACGCGTTGATTAAGGAATTGGCCGTTTTCGGTTCGCGAGGGGGCGTCGCGGCCGCCATTTTTGCGGGTCCAGGTCCGTCGATTTCGGTCCCAGGCGCTTTTCACGAAGGGGAGGTTTGCGAAAGGGAGGTTTGTCCACCGCAGGATCTACTCGGACCCCATCTGGGCGGAAAGTCATGTCGTCGGAGACCTGTGCCCGCAGGCGGCGCGCGGGAGCCGCGCCACCTCAGGAGCGCCCGGCACGGGCTCTCGAGCCCGCTGCCGGAGGCTGAGCCCGACCGGCTCTGCAGTCAGCTTCAGGGGCAACGTTGGTGGGCGATGCTCTGAGCGGGGGCCGGATTGGTAGGTCGACCCTGCCAGATCAAGGGTACCCTCTCGTGTCCTGTGCCTCGCGCCCCCGGATTCCTACATTCCGATGGCAATGTCTTGGCATCGCTCGGACGTGTGCATGTTTCCTTCGGCGAGGACCATCGAGGAGCATCCTTGATCATTTCGCGAGAAAACCACGCACGAAACCGAAAAAACACAGGAAATGGACGTCCGAGCGATGGCCAGATGTGGCCCTCGGACGGGTCTCGTGTCCTCTCGCGTGCCCTGCCCAAGCGAGTCCGACTGCAGGGGGCCCGACACAGCTCGCCCGGCCCTGGCGCGTCCGGAGTCGCGGTCGGGGGCGCCTCGCCGATCCATCGGCGGTGTCTCGATCGGCGAGGTATCACCGATGCTGGGCCCATGCTTCCGCCCGTGGGCCAGACCCTCCCTAACGTTCCCCCCGCACACTTGAGCGCAGGCCCGTCGGGGGCACATCGCCGATCTATCGGCGATGTCTCGATCGGCGAGGTGTCACCGATGCCGGGCCCATGCTGCCCCCCCGTGGGCCAGTCCCTCCCCAACGTTCCCCCCGCACAGCTGAGCTCAGGCCCCCGCCAAGCGGGGCGCCTGGCCCTCGGTGGGCGCCAGCCGCACCCCTGCTCGCCTGAGCAGCTGAGCCGTATGTAGCAGGTAGTCTTTCCATCAAGTTGGGCCTGTCCCTCTACAGGGCCTTGACGTGAGGCCCCTCCTTCTGCCTCCCCCCCCCTTTGTTAATTAAAGCTGTGCGCGGCCCGCTTAGCTTCGACCGCAAGAGGTGCGCTCTCGACCCGCGGATCAAAAAACTGTCCTTCCACAGCAGGAATATTCGAAAACAGTCAAATATAGTCTGGGGACGATTTTTGTTAGTTTTTGACCACTTTGGAGTATTTTTTGACTATTTCTTATTTTTCCTCCAAATCCCCCTGTAGGAGGACAGGCCCGACTTAATCTTTCCACCTCCCTCCGCCGGCCCAGCGGCCCGCGCTGGCTGGCCTCCTCCGCCAACGCTGCCCTGGAGGCTCACTCCTCCCCCTGCCCCGCTTCGCTCCACCCTCGAGGAGGAGGGAGGAGGAGGCGGAGGAGGAGGAGGAGGAGGAGGAGGAGGAAGAGGATCAGGAGGAGGAGGAGGAGGAAGAGGATCAGGAGGAGGAGGAGTAGGAGGAGGAGGAGGAAGAGGAGAAGGAGGAGGAGGAGGAGGAGGAGGAGGAGGAGGAGTGCAGACCCAGTTAGCTAGGAAGCGAGCGCGAGCAAGACGGTGAGACTCGGCGCACTCCTCGGCGACGTGCGAGGAGGAGGAGGAGGAGGAGGAGGAGGAGGAGGAGAGACAGAACGACATGAGTATCAACTGTTGGAGGACCGCCCGGATTTCTGGCTTCGGCTCTGGAAGCCCCCCCTCCCTGGCACGTGGGTTGTGCACCGGGAGCGCCGCCTGAGGCGCCGCCAGAGAGGTCCAGAGCAGACCCGAGAATTTTAGTCGGGCACGTCCCTCTAAAGGACGGATTTTCAAACATAGTCACAACTAGTATGGGGACGTTTCTATACATATATATATATATGATTGAGGGAGAAATAGGCTCTATGCGTCCCTTGGACTCTGCTTCAGCAAATAATTTGAATAATTTGAATAGCGTAGGCGTGTCTGTCAGCCGAGCCACCTGCCAGCATATTTAAATAATTTAAATAATTTAAATAATTTAAATAATTTAAATCGCGCGTGATGATTTAAATTATTTAAATTATTTAAATTAGTTGAATTATTTAAATTATTTAAATATGCTGGGAGGCGGCCCAGCAAGCTGACTGACCACCACGATTTGAATTAATTCAATTATTTGAATATCGCCTCGTCGAAAATAATTTAAATAATTTAAATACAATAGGCGTGTCTGTCAGCCGAGTCGCCTGCAGCATATTTAAATAATTTAAATAATGTAAATAATTTAAATAATTTAAATAATTTAAATAATATACTATTTAAATCGCGCGAGATAATTTGAACTATTTAAATTATTTAAATTATTTGAAATATTTGAATTATTTAAATATGCTGGGACGCGGCCCAGCAAGCTGACCGACCATCACGATTTGAAATATTTAAATTATCTGAACGTCGCACCAGCGGAAATAATTTAAATAATTTAAATAGCGTAGACGTGTCTGTCAGCCGAGCCGCCTGCCAGCATATTTAAATAATTTAAATAATTTAAATGATTTAAATAATTTAAATAATTCAAATCGCGCTGGATGGTTTAAATTATTTAAATTATTTAAATTATTTGAATTATTTAAATTATTCAAATATGCTGGGACGCGGCTCAGCAGGCTGACAGACCCTCAGGATCTGAATAATTATAATTATTTGAATATCGCATCGGCGGAAATAGTTTAAATAATTTAAATAGCGTAGGCGTGTCTGTCAGCCGAGCCGCCTGCCAGCATATTTAAATAATTTAAATAATTTAAATAATTTAAATAGTTTAAATAATTCAAATCGCGCTGGATGGTTTAAATTATTTGAATTATTTTAATTATTTGAATTATTTAAATTATTTAAATAATTTAAATAATTTAAATAATTCAAATGATTCAAATAATTTAAACCAGCCGCAGCGATTTAAATTATTTAAATTATTTAAATTATTTAAATTATTTTAATTATTTAAATATGCTGGGATACGGCTCAGCAGGCTGACAGGCCCTCACAATTTGAATTATTTAAATTATTTGAATATCGCTCGATAGAAATTATTAGAATAATTTAAATAGTGTAGGTGCGTCTGATTGCCGAGCCGCCTGTCAGTATATTTAAATAATTTAAATAATTTAAATAATTTAAATAATTTAAATAATTTAAATCAGCCGCAGCGATTTAAATTATTTGAACTATTTAAATTATTTAAATTATTTAAATATGCTGGGAGGCAGCCCAGCAAGCTGACCGACCATCACGATTTGAATTATTTAAATTATTTGAATATCGCCTCGGCGGAAATAATTCAAATAGTTTAAATAGTGTATGCGTGTCTATCTGCCGAGCAGGCTGCCAGCATATTTAGATAATTTAAATAATTTAAATAATTTAAATGATTCAAATAATTTAAACCAGCCGCAGCGATTTAAATTATTTGAACTATTTAAATTATTTAAATTATTTAAATATGCTGGAAGGCAGCCCAGCAAGCTGATCAACCATCACGATTTGAATTATTTAAATTATTTGAATATCGCCTCGGCGGAAATAATTCAAATAATTTAAATAGTGTATGCGTGTCTGTCTGCCGAGCAGCGCCAACACCCGATGCCTTACGATCCTTTGCAGTCAATTGGCTGTGGGATAATGACATGAGAGAGCTGGCCGAATGGCATGAGCGATCTGAACGATTAGACTGGACAACTGGGCTGCAAGGCTGACCTGACCGAGCGGGGCGGGAAGCGCCTTGGCTAGTTAATTCGACATGCAAATATTTTCCACCGTCAGATCTGAAGAACGAATGCTAATCAAAACTCTCAAATGTCGCGTGAGAAGCGCCCCAGAAGCGGCACGAGGTCTGAACGTTTGCCTGACCCTAGACAACCCTCGCAACCGCATTAAACAGCTGGGCCTGTTGCTACATCTTAGATATCCACAACTGAAATGCTTGTACAGGTACCTACTGGGTCATCATCAAAGCTGCGAGCGGAAGGCGATCTAACGGATGACCCGCTTCCTATTGAAGGGAGTGCGCTTGACCCCCTTCATTGCCGCCGGCCTCTTCTGCGCAGCCTTCATTGCCGCGGGCCTCTTCCGAACGATAGACTTAAAGTTCTTACGATCCTTTGCCCACTGCTTGGCCAAGGGCTGAGAAGCCTTCCGCTGGGCGCTCTTGGGCAGGCACGCCTTCGCAGGCGCGCCAACACCCGATGCCTGCGCCGCGCAGAAGCGCTGCCATTCGTCAGGGGATGCGAGCTGGCGGCCAATCGCAGTCGCGAGCACTGTCTGCGAGGTGAGCGCTCTCAGAGCTGGCGCGTACATGGCGGCGTTGTGCGCGATCAGCTTGGCGTGGGTGGCCGCCGCCAGCTGCAGTTCCAGCGTCTCAAGGTAGAGCTCGGGCTGGTTGCGGAACCACCTGTTGACCTCGGCGTGCAACGCCTCGTTCGGCGACGTGCCAGAACCAATCAGCGATTGGTACTTCTTGGGTAGGGAGTGGCGCATCCGCGTGTTGTTGAACAAGAACTGCACCCGCTCCACCGACGTAGCCGACCAGAGCACATCTACCAAGAGCCGCCCGCTCGCCGTGCCCCGGTTCACCTGAGGAAACGAGATCATCGATATGCAGATCTCGATCATGCGACCGACGGCGGCATTGACAAACGGCGAACGACCGAACGAATGGGAGCGATCGGGGAAAGGAAAGCATCTGCGCAAGTGGCCTCATCCCAATATACTGATGTAATAGCCGCCATGGCTCTGACGAAATCATCGGTGTTCTTGAAAGGCTCTTCCCCATTCAGGTTATCCAGGAGGCGCTGCGCCTCTCGTCTGGGCATGCTGCCGTTCTTCACTGCGTCCCGACTTCTGTTCTGGTCTGGGGTCAGAGGTTGCAATTGTCCGCCTGTATAAGCTGGGCCCCACGCGTCCGAGGTAGCCTGATAATCAATCTTGTTGAATTTGTTCAGAACCGTGCGCAGCGCTGTCTGCCCTGGCCTCGGCGCAGTCTCACTGGGCGGTCATGGCGACCGCAGATGCCAACGATCGACGATCGGAATCTTCGAACGACGACAACGATCATGGAGGTGGCACGATCGGCATCGGGCAACAACTAAGCCTACTGCGAATGCTTTTTCCAGTGAGCCGAGTTGTAAACGATAGCTAGGTGCACTGGGTCCAAGCTGAGCCACGTCAGATTCTTGCAGATCTCTAGCAACTGGCCGTACAACTCACCAGAGGGGTCGTCAGTCGCGATCGAGCGGCACTGATCGAGAGCTGCTTGTGGGAGACGCATCTGAAGCATATCCTTGATGTTCCGCGCGGCCTCAGACGCGATCGGCCACATGCCTGCGACGGCCGCCGTGCGGCCGCGCACCGTGAGGATGCGCCTCTTGGCAACCGTGTCGTCAAAAGGCGCGGCGGCTCTCTTCTCCGCAGAGTCCCGGTAATTCGCCTGCCCTTTGATGCGCATGGCCGCCCTGATGGTGGCGTCGATCGACACGTGCACGAACTCGTCGTGATCGAGCAACTGCTGCATGAGCTGATCGCGCGCAGCGCGAACAAATGGCGCGCTGAGGAGATCTTCCAGCAGCTCCAACCATTTGGTGACCTCCTGCGGGAGCAAGTGCGTCAGCTGCGACCCCGCCTCCGCGCATCTCGCCACGATGCGCGCGCGAGTGGGCCGAGCGCGCCCGTGGTTCAGCATGAACTCCTTGAAGATAATCTCTGCGAACGCGTGGCTGTAGTACGTATCTCCGACGCGCCTCGCCAGCGTCGTCGGGCCCTCGGGCGGCTCGGACATGATGGCGGCTGCGTTGATGAATATCGGGCCAGCGCCGTCCAACAGGAGACGGATGTCGCGATCAATCCTGAGGCAGGCCAGCGCAGGCTTCACGCTCTCTCGCAACATCTGAGCAGTGCGTTCGAGATACCGCCCTTGGCTTTTCCCCTGGCATCGATCGGAGTCGAACATCGCGAAGACCATCTTCATCTGCTTCGTGCCGGACGCCACGTAGTTACCGAAGCCCATCTGCCGATCGCCAGTTCGTTGACTCTTCCTCTCTGGGTTATGGTAATTACACAGGTGCGTCAGCAGGTTCCGCTTCACCTTGGGGCTGCTCTCGTCAAACTCTTTGAAGGGGCAGAGAATGCAACGCGACTGACTGCCTCCACGAACGGCCGCTTTCGCGGCGTCCACCTCCGCCTTCAGCGCTCGCAGTAGCTCAGAGTGTACGTCTACAGTGCCTCCGTCGAAGCTCTCCCCGTCGCAACTGGCCTCGCTGCCCTCGTCGTCTCCAGCGGCCAGTAGATCTAGCAGCCCGTCCAGCCGCGAACTCTCGCCATCGTCGATGCCATCCTCATCCAGGCAGAAAGCCACAACCGTCTTGATATCGAGCGCGCTGGCGTAGCACTCCTCGAAAGCGGACACGCTCATCTTCTGCGCCTTGCCTTTCTCGAAGATGACGACCTCCCCGTGCTGGAACACCGCGCCAACGCAGTGCGGAAGCCCGTCGTGTTCCGCGTGAAGAAGGTAGCGCCCCTCCTTGCAATCCTGGAGACTCGCCCGCGGGAAGAATATCGTGCCCAGCAGCTCTGCCACGTCGCGGTACTTCCTGAAATCTGCAACCTGCTGCCCCGAAATCTTCTCTCGCACGCTCTGCCACTGTCCAGTCACTGCTGCGAACGCGCAGGGTATGCAGTTGCCGCGCCGAAGCAGCTGGTCGCCCGCACTGCTCGGCGCGCCGCTGTCGTAATCGTCTACTGCCAGACCCTTCGCACGCAGCAGCTCGATGAAATTGAGGTTCTCATTGTGGCGCCTGGAGTTGATGTTCGAGGGGGCCGCGGAGCGCGCTGAAGGTGTCGGGGACGGCGAAGACGATGACACAGGGCTGCCGCGCGCTGCTCTTGCCGCCCTGGAGGCGAGGCGACGTCGCTTCCTCGACGGCGGAGTCGGCCCGTCATCGTCCCATCGGCCAGCAGCCAGGAGATCCAGCAGCCCGTCCAGCCGCGCGCTCTCCTCAGGATCAATGCTATCGCCCAGACGGAAAGCCACTACCATCTTCATGTCGAGCGCGCTGGCGTAGCATTCCTCGAAATCAAAAACACTCATCTTACGAGCAGCGCCCTCCTCGCAAATCACGACGCTCCCATTCTGGATCACCGCGCCGATGCAATGCGGAAGCCCGCCGTTCTCCGCGTGAAGAAGGTAGCGCCCTTCCTTGCAGTCCAGGAGGCTCGCCCGCGGAAAGAGCGGCGTCTCCAGCAGCTCTGCCACGTCGCGGTACTTCCTGAAAACCTCGTCCTGCGGCTCCGAAATATTCTCTCGCGCTTTCGCCCACTGAGAAGTCAGTGCGGCGATCGCACTGGGTATGCAGTTGCCCCGTAGAAACAGATGCTTGTTGTCTTCGTTGCTGCGTGGGCCGCCCTCATCAACGACTGCCGCGCTCTTCGCGCGCAGGAGGTCGAAGAAATAGGAATGCTCCTTGTTGCGCAGCGTGACGGTGTATCCGGTGGCAGCGTGAACTCGCGCAGAGCAACCCGAGCAGAAATCGCCCAAGCTCCCCGTCACGGCGACGCGGTCCACGTCCACGCGCACGCCGTCGAAATGCAAGGACAGGTGCTTCACGCGCTCCTCGCAAATGAAATTGAGCACGTGCTGCAGTATGTAGTTCTCTACGCCTTGCCATAGATAACTAAATGTAGAAGACTCCGCCCATTTCCCCTCGTGCTGTTGCATCGCGAGGTGCACCTTAGGCAGCAGCGAAACCGCGAGCCACCTCAGCATCCTGGACGCCCTGGACAGGGCAGCAAGGAACTCATTCCCTCTGAAAGCAGCGGGCACGGATGCCCCGCACGCGACCTCCAAGAGAATCCCTTTGCCGACAGACAATCCCACGCCGAGTTCCTGCTCGCAAACTTCGCGCCGATTCTTTTGCAGACGATTAAGGACTTCAAATTCTTCTGCGAAAACCTTCTCGTCCAGGAGGCTCAGCCGCTTCAACATCTGCGGAAGGATGCAAAACAAGAAGTTCTCCATGTCCAAATCGAACGTGTTGGTGAGCAAAACCTTCTGCAAGCGCTGGTCCATGGACTGCGCGCCCACAGAGTCGTCGACGAAGAGGCGAGACCTCAGGCGAAGCCGCATCCACCGAGCGCGCGCCAATTTTACTGATCGGGCCCGCCTCCCTCCCCCTTCTCATATTCCCTCACGATCACTCAGACGACTCGAGATCCACTATGGACCGCAGACCGAGATCCCGATGCTGATCGATTCACCGTCCGTACAAGATGCAGGATCTACGATCGATCCAAGGTCAAAATTTAAGCTCGCGGCGGCCACTCCACCTTGTGATGGTACCCCGTGGAAACCGTAATCGAAACCTCGTCGTCGAAATGAGCCGACTCCCCCTGCGAGCTCGGGCCGCTAGCCTTGGCCGTGAGGCGCCTCCTCTTGATTTCCTGGGCGCGCTTGTCCCTGCTCGCCAAAGTATCGATGAAAGACTCCATGCGTCGAACTGATTCAGCCCTCTCCGACCACGCCGCCTCGCGCGCAGCCTTCTCGGCAGCCTGTCGGCCGGGGCGCCGAATGCCTTTGCCCAGTGCATCCGCCAGAACCACAGCGTTAGTTTTGCGAGCTCCGTGCTCAAAGAATACTGACCGAAAGGACTTCATGTCGTAGACCTCTGGGTAGTTGCACGCGCCCATCGAGCTCTCGTCGATCAGCGCGCTCATGCCGTTCTTGGTGCGTATGCGCGGCGCGATGCGATCGGCCGCCTTGCCCACTGTTCCAATGCCCACCCATAGACCCTCTGTCTGCAGGCGCTGAAAGGCCTTCGGCTTAGGGGCAGGAAGCTTGCAACTGGTCGGCAGCGACATCGCCTTGAAAGCTGGAAGCGTAAGGAAGTCCATGTTTTTCTTTTGACATTCTTGAATGAGAGCCATGCTGAAATCTAACCACTCCTTGGGGGCTGTGCACCCATGCCCCTGCGAGTTGGGCGCGTCGATCTCCGCCTGCAGGGACCCAGCCACGTTCGACGTCTTCTCGAGGAGGCCACAAGCCTGCCGCAGCGACTTCTCCGTGATTCCTCGATCGCCACCACAGCGCGCATACCGAACGATAATGTCGCGACACGCCTCTGCGCCGTGATCATCCTCGAAGGCGAACTGCACTCGATGCCCAGCGGCGACGCCGACGGAGGACATGAGAAACTCCTTCGCATCTGGGTCACGGGCGAAGATCCCGGCGGCCGCGGCGTCACCGAAGTTCTCCTCAACATACAGGCGATCGAAAAACCGCGCCTGTATCTTCACCACGGCAAGCCTGCGCATCAAAGACTCCACGTTCTGCTCTGTGATCTCGTCAAACACCAGGAACTTGTTGACCTCGAGTCTCTTCCAACCCACAATGCGAAACATCTTGGTCAAGATTGAATAGGGAAGTCTTCCAGAAACTCCCTCCGCTGTGGCAAATTTCTTGAGTAAGTCCTGGCGGCTCGGCGCCAAGGCAACGCGGCGGCGGCCCTCGCGCCCCGACATTGAAGGGCACGACGCGGGCGGCGCGCCCTTCGGCTGTCGGGGCGCGAGTAACCAATATGCCAGCCGCGGTGCGTTTGACGCCAGAGCCGCAATCCTCCCGCATGGTTCCGCGTTGTCCGCTGGGTCGTTCTTGACCTGTGAAGATAAAGCCGTCGACCAGCAGCTCGACCACTTTGCGTAACTCGTCATCGACGAAAAATACATTGGGATCGAAATATTTGTGATTCTTGTGGCCATACATCGCCTCCAAATGACTCGTAAGGAGACTCAGGCCGACGCCGCCAGGTCCCCAGTACACTGTGATGGTGTCAACGTTGTAGCCTCTCTTCGCGAGCGCCTGGGCCGCCTGCCCGAACACGAAAGCATCTGGAATGGACCAGAACGTCTGTGAATATATCTTCTGCACGCGGGCCACCGCCGCGTCGAGCACGGGGTCGGTGGACAGGAGCTGCGAGCGGATGCCAATGTAAACCGAATTCTCAGGTGATCGCTCAGAAGAAAATGTCACAGGACTACCCAGCACATCGTACTTCACGATGCAGTCTTCGTAGGCGACGCCAGCAGATCGCATGGTGTCCTGAGAGCACCATTCAATAAAGTACGACATGATTTTGCTGCTGAGAAGTTCCGTCTGTAATTTGGTCGATACCTTGCTGATAGTCTGGGCGACTGCGATGTGCCACGCGTCGGACGCCCTGGTGAGGTCGTCGCCCTCGGCGTCCTCAGCGCCGCGCCCCCGCCCCTCGCCCTCGCCCTCGCCATCGGGCGCCTGCGCCGCGACGCCCTTGCCCTTGCCCTTGGCCTTTTGCAGGATCGCATTTCCCTTGTTGAAGACGCAGTTGTCGCGGAACGAGACGAGCGCGGCCGCCTCCTTAACTGCGTAAGATATGTCTCCGTTGATCTTCGCAACCGCATTCTCCACGGCGCTGTCGATGGCCGCGAGCACGGCGGAATCCTTTCGCTCCACGCCGCACGGGAAATCCCTGAATATTCCTTCCAGAGTCAGCATGAAGCGAGACGCCGCGAAGAGCAGCTCTGGCGGGAGGAGGCCGTCGAAGACGTCGAAGTAACCGAGACGTTGATCGTAGAAGTAAGCCCGCCCGTTGTGGGCGCGGAGAAGGCGGCCACCAAGTATGATCCAGATCATTTGCACGTGCTGCACGGTCCCCACGTCCACTGGGCGGGAGCGGTACACGCAGAGGGCCGCGAGGCCGATGCGCTTGAGATCCGAGCTCCAGTTGGGGCGCTCTCTCTCCACGATCTCCGCGTACTTCTCGGCGTCGGCGACGAGCCCCGTGTTCGTGGCCACGGGCGCCGCGCGCACCTGGCGGAGCCGGCCCTTCTTCGCGTCGACCTTCTGGAATATATCTGCGAAGATGGCATCCGACTGCTCGGCGCCGTGGATCCTCTTGCGCTTCTCCACAGCCGCCCGCACATCATCTCGACCGCAGTCGGCGATGATATCGTCGTCGGCAGCTGCCAGCTGGGCCGCCTCCTGCGTGTTCGGCACCTGCATGCCCTCCAAGCTGCCCATGAGATCCCGCGAATACTGAGAGAGCGCGGGGGGGGCCGGCCCAGCCGATGAGGCTGCCGCGGAGGCGGAGCGAATGCGCGCACCCTCTGGAGGAGGATGCCCCGCGGCCGACGCCATCGGGGCCGCGCGCTGCGTGAGCGGGAGAGCAGCTAGCTAAACGGCAAAGAGTCGGGATGCCTCGGGTTGTAGACAATGGCTCTGGAGCTGTGCATTAGAGCTCTGGGCGTCGATGATGATAGAGATGGAGATGTGCCTGTTGCTGCTTCTTAGATATCCACAACTGAAATATTTGTAAAGGTACCTTCTGGGTCATGCGTCAAAGCTGCGAGCGGAAGGCGGTCTGACGGATGATCTGCTTCCTATTGAAGGGAGTGCGCCAAGCGTTGGATCTACGCGGTGCAATCTATGCGGCGCAATCCGCGCGTGCAATATATGTGCGCGGCAACCTATGCGATGCATGGATGGCGCGGTTTAAGTAATGCAATCGATACCTTCGCCACGCCTTCCCCAAAATCGCGCGTTGAACCTACATAGTATAAACTATGCGGCGCAATCCACGTGGTGCAATATACGTGCGCGGCGCCCTATGTGATACATGGATGGCGCAGTTTGAGTAATGTAATCTATGCGATGCAAACAATTTGTCAAACGCTATGCGCCCGCTAGTCCTGGTGGCGACCCATGGCCGAGGGCCACGCTATGGGCCGTTCTTTTTTCAAATCTCACGAGTGGTGCAGTACCTCTGCATTAGAGCACTGGACGTCGATGGTGATAGAGATGAAGAGACGATTCTTTTTCCAGCGGCAATGACCGGCAAGGCGTTCCAAGCATCGCTGCAGCGAGGTGCTCGGGCGCAGCGAACAGCCCTGAACCACAGGATCCGCGCGCGCTGCGCAACTGCTACAAAGTGCCACCCCTCTAAATGATGCAATCCAGCGCGCGCCCCTCATTTCCCGCTCCCATCCAAGCCCTTGCGCGTGTCAACCCGCCCTCCCATGGGGCGCGCCGCGCGCTCCACGCGCGGCCGTGCGCAGCTGCTGCAGTCAGGACGCGGCCCAGCCACTCACGCGGCCGCGGAAGGGCCGGCCGCCGCCGCGGCGCCGGCCTATCTCACTTATTACCCGACACTTTGGCGCAGCATCGGCATGGATAAGCCAGGCGGCACGGCATCGCACCTGGCACGAAACTGTCCTTGGGGACGATCAGGGGAGAAATGGTGTCGTCACGGTCAGCGCAGCAATAGCACCGAGCGAACGCCTCCGCCGCGGGCAGCGCCTTGGCCAGGGGGCCGACGCAGTCGAAGTACTTATCACCCTTGTTTGCGAAGCCATAGCCACGAAACAAGTGAATCTCTTCGACGACGATCTGCTTTTCGTCGAAGATAAGCTGGTAGCACTCCCCGTAAGAACGGCTGGTCTTCGGAGGCCCATCGCATCCGACCTTCAGAACGATGCGGGTGTACGGGATGCTGAAGTCGGGGTGCTCTGAGAACCGCGTGGCGACGCCGTGGTAGAAGGCGCCGCCCCACGTGAGCGTGTCAGCCACATACACGCCGACGTCTGTGCACTCGTGGATGCGGGTGTCGCTGGAGTTCTTAAGCCCATATTGTAGAATGCTGGGGAGGCAGTGGAACGTCGTCCCGTGCCAGTACGACTTGTAGCTTGCCTTCGTGGGGAAGGTCGTCTCAAACACCATATGTTCCACCCAACCGCCCTTTGGCTCTCTGAAGACATGCTGATCGCCCTCCTGGTGCTTCACGTTGGGGAGTCCAGCGACGAACCGCAACAGCAGGTCCTGTGACGAAATATTGCCGTGCTGCCACTTAGTCATCCACTTCTGCACATTGGGCGCGTTCCAGCGGTGCAGGGCAGTGTGCGTCTCACGGGCAGAGTGCTCAAATACCGGAGACGACATCGCGGCCGCAGCTGAGTCGGGCAACCTGGGATGGAGCGCGCGCGAAAGCGGCGTCGAGCCTGCTTGAGCCACGCAAGTCTACTGATAATATTCAGCAATCCTGCGAGTGAGCGGGGCGGCAGAGTCCGCGAGGCTACCGAAGCCGCTGGCGGTCTCTCGGCCTCCTACCCGCGCCGATCGGCCTCCGCCTTCTCGGCCGGCGCCTCGCTACCCGCCCCCCCCCCCCCCGCGTCTCTGGCGCGGCCCCCCACTCAGCCCGCCCCTCTGCGGCCCGAGTCGAGAAGGGAGATAAGCTCTCCCGCGCTAAGCTCTGATGACAGTTTGAGACAACCGGCTAGGGCAATCCGAAATGACAATTGGAGCCTCTCACCCAAGACGATCACGAGAGCCCCCTAGAACCTCCCGAGGCGCGACCTAGAGGCCTCCAAGAAGCTCCTTAAAGCTCAACGCCGCAGACATTGTGATCCTGGATGAGACCGGCGAGTACATGGAGGAGGTAAGGTCTTGCCCTGGTAGCTGCTTAAGAGGGTCGGCTGCAAATTCGCCCCGATCGATCGAAGGCAGAAGCTCTCACTGCTCTACATAGATTGGTGGTTGAGCTGGCCAAGTAGGTCGAACGAAATTGTTTGGTGACTGGGGTATAACGAGAAACCTGGAATCGACCTCAAAGTCATCGCTAATCCAACAATGACAACCATGCGTGGCACGGGGTATGCGATGTTCTGTTTTTCTTGTCAAATGTAATGCGCAACACCCTAACTGCTTCAAGCTATGCGAGGTTTCTGGAGCCTATCCAGTTTATATTTGCCAGCTGCATCAGCCAGCGCGCGCAATGAGATCAATATGCAGACTCGAAAAGCACAGGGCCTAGAGGGAGGGCAACGGCGGCTCAGCGGCGGCGCTTCCGACTAAGATTGAAGCAAGGAGCTATCTGCTTGCAATTGCTGATCACTTGCTGGTTGATATTTAACTCGATGGGCCGGTGATCTGGCAGGGCAAGCGCGTGCCGAATGTACGCCTGAAGTAGATTTCTATTTCTAGGTTTTAAGAATGCAGGCAGACAGCCGATTGAAAGAGGCTTCTCATCTGTTGCTGTCTACCTCCATTCTGAAAACTTGGATTAACAAATATGCCTTCACGGACAAGATCGTGGTGGAGTAATTGGCGATGTACTGGTCGAGGTCCTGCATCAGATTCTGAGTGTGCTCGACCGTCACCCGAATGGAGAGCTGGTGCGTATACTGGCAAAAGCTTACGAGGACGGCAGTCGCTTGCACTTGGCGAACATGGCGAACTGCTATCCATTCCAGTTCGTCGTCGGCAGGCTTGTACAGCATGATATGACCTGAGGAGGCGTCAGCTATAGTTACTCTTGCGCCGATTTGGCCGAGCTCTCCTGGTTTCAGGAAGCGCGAACGTGTCCCCTCGGTCAGCCCGCGGAGGCACGAACGCAACTCCGCCTTAAACTCAGACCGAGCAGCGGCACAAATCGGCACAATGGTATGTATAACGTTTCCCGATCGCCGTCGTAACGCTGGAAGGTCCATTTCTTCCAGGCGCACTGGAAGTTATATGGGATCCAGATCTTGTCCTCTGGGCAAACGCACGGAAGGGGATAATGCTAAAACTTATTCTTATTATGAAAGCACAATTTAAATCATAAGGCCTTCAATCATTCAACACTCCCCGAATCCTCGCCGTTATCAATGCGATCTTGTTGACGCTGGCCCAGTTTGTTCCAGGCGATGGAAGGAGGCAAGTTCGGCATTGGCCCCATCGCGGCCCCGCCTTCAATGTAAGTAAATTCGTACGCCATGGCGTACGAAAATATACAGCTGCAGATTTCAAATCTTGAGTCATCCGCAGCAGCTTTATACGCAATATATGCATAAGAAAATACCATATTGACATGTGTTGACCAATATTAATTATATAGATGGGAGGATCTCTCAGGCGAGACTGGCCCGACCACCTCAGACCAAGGGATATCTCAGCCCGGAGTTGCGAAGATGTCTTAAGCGAAACTGGGCGGACCACCTCGTGCGAGGCATCTCGGAACACAATCCGCAGCAGCTATATATGCAATATATGCAGAATAACGTAACACATGAACATGTGTTGACCTACATTAACAATCTATGCACCGTGTAAATGTAAGAATACATGTTGTTAGTATACTAGTATTGGTAGTAATACTTACTACTATATTTGCAGCTGCTACTGCTACATAGTAGTAGTACTTAGTAGTAGTAATAATTCCTAGTGAAAATAGTAGTAGTACTTAGTGGTGTTAGTACTTGGTAGTAGTAGTAGTAGTAGCACTTACTACCACTACTACTTAGCATCTACTACTACTCAGTAATCATTAGTAGTCGTACTTATACGAATAACAAGTGCTACTACTACTTAGTATTAGTAACTACCACTGTGGTGCAATTTATGTGTCGGCGCTTGCCATGAGGCCCCCAAGAGCATCTATGGATTCCTCGTGGTAGTAATACTTAGTAGTCGTGGTAGTACTGGTAGTAATCAATATTTCTCCCTCGGCCTCCTCGTCGAGCCGTCCGCTCGAAGAGGCTCCCAGGAGGCCCCCAAAGGCCCTCAAGAGCGCACAAGAGGCCCCACGAGGCGCCCAAGAGGCCCAAGAATAAGCTCAAATATACTCACAAACGCTCCAAGAGGCCTCCAAACTGCCCCCAATAGGCACCCGAGGGGTCCCCCACTACATCCCAACGAACATCCAAGAGGCCTCTAACCCGCAACACGGGCAGGGTGGCGGGATGTGCCGAAGGCCACTAAATATGTAATGCATCGCGTTCGGTGCCCACTTACGTGGTGCAATCTATGTGGTGCAATGTAGGTGAAGCGATCGCTGGACCTTATGATCCAGACCGCGCTCTGCGCCGCGCGCAACGTTAATGTAAAGTTCCCGCCGCACCTTGAAAACGAGAACCGTTCAACACATTTTCATTCGGATCAAAATCAAAGCGACGGCTCGCATCGTCGTCATCGCCGCCGTCGTCGCCGTCGCCGTCGTCGCCGTCGTCGTCGTCGTCGTCGTCGTCGTCGTG